TTCCAATATACCACTATCAAAATTTTGCCTATTATTTGAAATTTTAAAATTAGGACTCTACACATAAAAATCCATTAAAGCCATAGTTAATGCGTGGTTCAAAATACCATCTCAAATTAAAACTTTTTGTCAAAATACTAAAAGTACATTATTTTCAAAGACTCAACTAACTACTTAATATCTTCATAATCAAATTATATGGCCAACCCCAAGCTCAATTGACAAAATAAGCCAAGGCTTGCTATGTCTTCCAGAATTTAATTGAACTTAATAAATTCAAATTCAAGCCAAATTAGATAATTTATCAAAAACTTTATAGGCTTTAATCTGAAACCTGCAACACATACCAACCTCTTATCATTTAATTCCTTTCAGAAATTTCATAATATCATTAATGTAACTAATAATCAAATCAAGCTCAATTAGAACACAAACACCCACATCATCATCCACAAATAAACCTTAACTTCTACTTTTTCTAAACCTTGCATCAGCATTTTATAAATATTTTGAAGACAGCAATATATTTACAATATATAAACAGCAAAATAGCTCTAAAATTACCAATCAATATACTCTTCCAAACCTCTTTACTTCAATTTCAGCTTCCTTTATGGAGGGTAATTGGCTTCCATAACAATTGATTTTCGAATAACAGAATCATATCCTTTAACTTTTCATCACTCTACAAACAATTTTTTTAAGCATTTAACAAGCATCCCCATGGGCATGAATTCCTTTACTATTACCAAGTCCTTTCTTCAAATTTCATCCCCCAAATTTTACTAATATCCATATTTAGGAATAAGACAGCCTTCTAAATTTTAGCTCTTCAACACAAATGCATCAATTGTTTTTTATAACCCAAAGAAAATCAAACTCCAAACTCTATAACATTCACACAGGTAGTAGAAGAAAGAAGGAAAATTCATAATGTTTACCATTTCAACCTAGAATTAGATGCACATAGCAACGGGAAAGACAATCGAAGCCCCTCACCTCAAGTATTCGACGAAACACGCACAGCCAAGGGAAGAATAGAACCTTTAACCGAACAAGGGAAGGAAGAAAATAACATTGAACCAGTCTCAACTCACAAATCAGTCCTCCTAGCTACAACACCAACCCACTCCTCACTTGTCCATCACCCCCGAACAGAAAGAAAGGAATAGGCAAAGAAAAAATATTTTAGCGACGAGGCAACCTCTCGACAACTCGTCTCCCTCTTTGGCAGCTACAAGGAACGAAGAAGAAGGATCAGAGGTCGAGAATAGCAGAAGGAATAGAGATCACATGCAATTCAAAATTTTTCTTTCCCTCTCTCTTTCTCTCTCTCTCTCTCTGATACCCAAATGCGATTCAGCAAGAGGAAGAAGAGAAAATTATATCTGATAGGCTGAGAGCATTTTGATATTTTGGAGGCTGAAAATAAGAAAATTAAAAAAATAACTCCCAAATGCTCAGTAGGTTTGAACCCTGGATCCCATTTATAAATCACTTGCACTCTTCTGCTATACCAACACTTCCTCTTGTCATAATTGCGCCAAAATTAATATAACTACAACTAAAACAAAAAATGGTTATATTTTAATTTTTGTTTAAAATTCCTGGGTTACTACAGTGAGCGCATGATTAATTGGTGGAAGAATGGAAGAAAAGATGAGGTGGGCATGAATGAATGGAGTGGAAGAAAAGAGACGTTGGAGCTGATGATGATGAGCCCGGTGAAGGACGAACACAAAATCCGATAGAGAGCTTCTTCCTTCCTTTCTATCACTCAAACCAACTTTATTTACATAAAAAAATCAAATGCACCTATTAGAGTAGATTCTGTCTAAAATAAATCCCATGTCTCATAAAATATTTTCAAATTACTTTTTTAGCCATTATAATTTTTTCTCAAATGGCCAAAAACTCAAATAATATATGATAATTCAATTTAAGCTCAATTTAAATATTAACAAAATTATACCATATTAAAAATAGGAAAATAAAATATTCACAATTAAGCTAAATTCCTATAATTAGTTCAAAACATATTATTCCTCAAAATTGGCTAACAATTAAAATAATATTTAATAAACCAAATTAGCCCAAAATCATTATCAAATGCATGGAGAAGGTAGGATAAAATATATAAAATATATGATTTATCAATAACATACTTTAAGTTAATATCTACCAGATGTGTTGTGTATTTATAAACATTGTGTTGAGAATTCATGAATATTATATTGTGTATAAATGGACATTCTATTAAGATAAGGGTAAACGTGTCCTTTTCATCCACAATAAAATTTGGAAAAAAGATCCTCTAGCACGCAAGGCATTTTTAGATTTTATTGGCCTTAAATGCGATCTTTGTGTTTTGGGGGCTCTAAATGAGATTCTCCCATGAAAATTTTGGTCCTTGGTTATAATTTGATATTTAGACCTTGCCAATTTGTGACGCATCATAGCTGACATGAGACTAAATTTTTAATTGACTCATTTGCATTTCAACCAACACGTTATTTAAATGGAAAAACCGCTATAAAGGACCTGACCTCCAATTTATTAGCCCGTAAAGTCTTGGGACATATTTCAAAAAGAAAGTCCTTCACTGTCAATAACTGATAAGGGCTAAATAACACCCTTGCTGATAAAAAATAAAAGTTAACAAGGTTTTTCGCTATAAATATTTCTATAAGGTGTTTTCATTGGCAATATGTTTACAAGGTCCTTCACTTTTAATACTTTTTGGTGTCAATATGCCAAGTAAGGTCCTTCAATGTCAATATCTCAACCAAGTCTTTTGTATCAAGATGTCAAGTAAGGCCTTTTCGAAAACAAAGCCTTCCACAATGCAGTAACTCTCCAAAAAGAAAAAAAAAAATGCAATCTAACTTCCATATATACAAATATGCAAATTGCATATCTTGAAAATTATCTTGGTATGAAATTTTTCTTCCATGGTATAATCTTTAAGGAAATGCATTGTATCCAAATTCAGTAAAATATTGAAAGTCACCATAACAGGAGGTTTAATTTGACCCAAATATTCTATATCATCAGAAGAAGGAACCGCAAAGAAAAATCTGAACGATAAATACCATATCTCAATGAAATCTTACTCAAATTTCATTCCTGGTGTGAAATCAAGCCAACTGAGCCGTGAGAAACCTCCAAATTAAAATCAAATTTCCCTCCCAAGTATTTATATTGTCAGTATGCATGTGACAACAAACGATCGAGTTTGGAACAGCAAAAAGGGAATAAGCTTTATGGGGAATAACGTTATTTTAAGATTTTATTGGAGGGACATTTTAAAATTTATAGTATTCAACATACTCAAATTAACGTTTGTTTTAAACATATAAACAAATTAAAAAAAAAAAAGATCCTCAAACCGAAGGAGGAATTTTATTATCGATAACACAAATCCACAACCACACACTGACACATACAATAATTCAACCAGACTCATAGCCCGAAGGCTTTAATATTATCATAAGCCCTATAGAAAGGCTTTACTAAAGACACAGTACGCATAAACAAGCCCATAATTCAAGAAAACACCTCCTCCTCCTCCAAATCTGAGCATCGGGTAGCGAAAACGACGACGTTTCATTAAAGGACTCATGCAAGGCGATGAACAGATTTGGCATGGCTATGGTTGCCATGACAGCACACGTATTTGACTAACTGTATCTCCATCTCAGATTGGCATGTCACACATTCTAAGGGAACATAGGTCTTCAGATCCAAGTAGAGACAACTTGATTGAGGCGGAAACTCGCTGGAATAGTATTTCGCAAAAGCCCCATCAAAGCCATGTTGAGTGATATCGTGTTTCCACGACTCAACTCGGAGAGAGTTTTTGCAGACGCTCTCACCAGAACCAACTATTTTAACCTCGGACTCGGCTTATGATAATCCAGCCGGACTTTTCTCGCCGGAGGCCGAGGAATTTCTTGAGATGGTCCAAGGAAGGGTCGTCCTTGATAGTTGTTTTCCTACTTTTCAAGCTGTTGAACACATTCTCTACAAAAGCCCAGAACTTATTTGCAGACTTGCAAGTCACTCTCAGCCTGCTTGCCATGATGATAGTAATTTATAGCAAAACCACTTGAGCTTATGATCTTGTCCCTTTTGATTTTTTCCAACTCTAAGTTGATTTTGTCCAACCAGCTACCATCATAGTTGCTGGGGTCCACATCGTCCATGCATCCGCAGATAATGTTGTATTCTTCTCATTCTGATATGTATCAATTTACATGTCACTTGTTGGTAATTTAGTTAAGACGTAGCAGCTTTTACTCTACATATATTATATATCTATATATTTGAGTGTGCATAAGTATGAGAATCTTGAGTTTTGAACAAGTTTTTTCAAAGAAATATAAAGATATTTTCAACAATTAACAAAAACTATCGTTTTTTTTTTTGTTTTTAAATATGACTTTAATCCTATTTATAAGGTGCTTTGTAAAAGATGGAATGTGATTCTAATTATATGGTGTGTCCAACAACCATAACAGGCCTATTTCAGAATAGGTGTGCCAGACAAAAAATATTTTTTTTTATTTTATCCTTTAACTTGAGAAGGCATTTGCTCAAATTAACAAGATGACTCGTCATATTCCTTCAATTAACAAAGAAATAATTGAAAAGTTGAGAATTTTTTAATAAATAAAACAACATAGCAGCTTCACTTAAATACATGAAAATATCTCAAACATCTTCTTAAATAGGACAGGATTGAGTAATATAGAAATATTTCATGCAACACGTATCATGAACTATAGGAAGTGTGTCATACCAGATACATATTATCAAATAGTATACACGCCATGTTTATTTTTAAAATATCGGTACTTCATATATATATATATTATGTGTGTATATATATCGAGTATGACTAAAGTAAAAAAAAAAAAAAAATACTTACCAAAACTTGCTAGTTGTTGATTGACGGTCTTGAGTATTGACCAGAACCAGCTCCAATTCTGAATAAAAATCAAATCATCTCCTGTACCCATGGGAATGCATGGCATCCCCATGCAGATAACATGGGCACGCATCGTTATTTGTTCTTCTTCCTCGTTGGTTGAACACTACACCCATAGGCTTTTTCATGTACCCCAGGTCCTGTTTGATCAGTTTCTGGCTTGCAGGTTCAACAATGGAATAATCCACCACACACGACCATGTAACAAATTGTTCTGCGACAACGTTGAATTGTGTTCTTGATCTTCTCACTCTTCGAAGAAGAAGAAGAAGAAAACAATGGGGACCCACAAGATCCTGAAGTCATTCTTTCGCATCCCATGTTTTTCGCAATTTGGATCTGACGCCAAATCTTCGCTGATTTTTTTCAAAAGCTTAATCTCCTCTTCGATGCCGAACAGTTCGGAAATGAACAGCAACACACACTTATTCTCGAACATTTCATCATCGATCTTCACCTGTAAACAGAAATAAAAATGATGAGTAATAATTAATCTCATATATATATATATATACACACACATCTAACAAAGCTTATACCAAAAAAGGAAATTATCAGTCTAAACAGATCAAATCCTATATACAGACCAAAAAAAGAATCCTATATATAATTCGAAGTTCTAACCCTTGATTTCATGGAGCCGTAATACACGTAGTGCTCTTCTTATCTTTGGGGAATAACAGCCATTCAAAACTTGTAAAATTCCTGTAGGAGTTAGGAATGCCCCAGCTTGGCGTTCTAAATATTCATCCATGATACCTGCAATGACACCATTTTTTCCCTTATGTTTTAGTGCCAATTAATTTGTTGGTGATGCGCACACACGCACACACACTCTCTCTAAGGTCCTATTACAATAGTGGATAAAGAAGTTTTTTTTTGTCTTATTTCTTATTAGATTAAGGGTCATTTTTATCCTTGAATTATAACACAAAAGGTTAGAAATGCTTTTAACTTAACTATGGGTCAATTCTCTCTCTCAACTTTAAAGATTTCCTTTATCATTACCTTGACGTTAAAAACACTTAATGTCTATTAGTAATCAATGGATCCCATTATTTTTAATATTTTTTATCATGTTAAAGTTCATTGTCAACTTCTATTCAAAGGGTCATTGTTGCTCCTCTACTCAAATATTTTATAATAAAAAATATTAAAAATATAATGTGAAACCCACTACTCGTCAATTAACAATGAAAAAATGACAAGACGATGACAGACAGAGTTAGAAAGTTATTGAATTTAGGCAAAATTAATGATCAATTTTAAGTTTTTTTCTTATTTGAGATGAAACATATTAGAAGTAACTTATAAATTAATATTAGAAAATAAGAATTAGTATGTAAGATCCTAACCTTTCACATCCTCTATCTGCTTCAGGTAGTCATGTAATGTTTCAAGAACGTGGGAAATCCAGTCTCTAGTTTCGGATAGTGTGCCGTTGCTGACCCTGAAGCAAAACAGCATGTAATAGAAAGTGTGATGACTATATAAACCAAACTAATTTTCTCGCGGTACTAAATGTAAGAGATAATATATAACCAATTCACATAGATTATAAGGATATTTGTTTAGTTATTTATTAAACATGTATTGGCAATGGTTCCTTAAAATAAACTTCCTTAAAAACTCTTGTTAAGGTATGTTAGTTTGAGAACAAAGAAGATCGGGATCTCGCATTTAGATAAGAAAAAAAAAAATTTCAACTGGCTCTTATATCAAGAAGCCTTGCCTTTGAAATTGAATAAAGGAATATAAAATTAGATGTGTATGTATATACCCGGCTTCCCTCCTTTGAGCATTCTCTCATCTAAACCTCTACTACATTAAGGAAACATTTGAACCGTCTAGATAAAATCTAGATGGACCAGATTTAATGTTTTAATTTGATTTCTATTTTATATTTCATAAAAATGATAAATTTTTTTAATAAATCTGATCACTAGTTTAGATAGTTTAAATTTAACAGGAATAGTTCAAAATTAATATTAAAAATTATAAAAAATTAATATTATACATCGTATATATATATGGTCAATTTATAAAAATTTTAAAAAATTTTAATATTAAATTTGAACAATTCATATTAAATCTAGACTGTTCAAATTGGTAAACACATTTATAAATTTTTTTATACTTTATAAATGTATTTTAATAAAAGTAAAATAAAGATAATGATAAAGATAAAGATAAAAACGTTAAATCTAAACCGTTCGGATTTAATTAGAATGATATGATGTTTTCTAAATGCCATGGATAGCGGGGGAGAGAACGCTCACCACCTGGTCCTTATACACACATATGCTTGTGCTAAGTTATAGCTAGCCAGTAGCAACTAGCTTGTTTAACTTACATTTGTTATATTGGACTGGCTAGGTTAAATAAAGTATAGTCACATGTAATTTTAACATGGTATCAAGCTAAACAGAGTATGAAGAACTTACCAACCACTGGAGCCCATGTAAAGAGTGCTGCTGCAAACAACAGTCGCAAAGACAGCCCAATAAACAAAATCAGGGAATTCATGCCTAGCTTTGTCCAAAGTGGGAATCATGTCCTCAAATTTGGCATAATCATGTCGCTGCAACATTCCCATCAACTTAACCAAACATGGACAGTTAAGAAAACATTCCTCACCAGACAGTGGTATGTGGAAACGGTTTCCTTATAGTACTGATGATGCTTCCTTGAACGTCATTCAAGACAGCCAATGATGCTCCAAGGTGGTCGCCATCTTTAACCTGAAAAAGAAGATGGAAATTCCCATAATCTAAAGCAAATGCTGCTAGTGCCATCACTGCTCTTGCATGCCATGGATATTCCTTCAGATCTGTGATTATCCTCTTTGCTGTTTCGTGTGCATGCGAGTATTTCTTATCAACAACTGTACTCGTCATCTGTGTGTCAACATAAATAAATTTAAGACATTGACTTAATATTACTTTGAGTTAATAACAACTTGTATATATATATATATATATATATATATATATATCTTTTAAAATAGAACAATATATAACCTGACAAGCAATTTTCCAAAGCCGTTCTGTGGGTGAATTGAAACCGAAAGGACTTGAGTTGGCCTCCTTGTTAACATTAAACTATAGTATGTAAACCGTGATCAATTATTGAATAGTCAGAGACTAGTTCAAAGATTAATGATCAAAATTCAAAACTATAATAAAACATGATCGAAGTGATTATAAAACAAAGTATGTTGTTAAACTGATCAATATACTAGTTTAACAAACTAATTCAACCAAATGGGTTGACTCGAATTTCTCTACTATGCATAAAATTAATCAAAAATTTAGTTATTCGCCCTTATAAGTACTGGAAAAGACAACGGCTCATATAGGATACATATATATATGTATTATATATAGACACACCTACGTACGCACCTTTACGTTTGGATCCGAGATCTTACGTGAGGCTTCCATGATGTTAGAGACGACCATGAACAGAGCATCCACATGGAGGGTTCGCTCGGTTGTGTTGCCAAACTCATCACAATGACAACAAATTAAGGACTTGTTTGGGATTCGGGCAAAGGAGGCAGAGCATGTGATGATTCTTGGGAAGCCATGGTATTTCCAACAAACAGCACTTTTGGAGAGAGTGTTATAATTGAAAAATAAAGATGGCCAGATGATTGTGCGGATGAGCTAGCTTCCCCTCAAGGCATATTATAGGCTAAATGGCTTGTGATAAAGTTGTAAAGTAACACCCTTAATTAAATTAAATTAATGTTAAAAGCACAAAAGCACTCTACCTGCTTGAATAGATGGTTAAATTTAGGAGGGCTTACTCTTTGTCATTAATAACTCGATAGAAAAGGAAAGGTACGGCACAACTTCGTACTTTGTGTTGAATTTTCCTTTTTAATCCAATTTCAAATGTTTTGAATCTTAATTGCAGCCCATGCTTTCATACTTATTTTTATTCCGATTTAATCTTATAGAAGTTATATTTGAACTGTTCTTTAAGGTTTTGATTTTGGAATGTGTTCCTATATGGTCTCAAATTTCAACCATGGTTAAGTAATTATATGATTTAATTCATAATCATTTAGAAAGTTTTGGTTAAATGTTGTGGTAGTAAAAGCAACCTTACACCTAATGTCATAAACTTTTTGTCGTAGTAATTTTTTTTTAAAGCAATTAAAATGGAGCAAATTTTCACTTGATAAATCTCCCTAAATGTTCATTAATCAAAATTGGTGGGACCCATTTTGACAAATGTCGCAGTAAAGATGCATATTTCTCTTCCCACTTTTGATTTATCCCCAGAATGCGTTCTTCCTCTTCTCTCCTTTCCTTTTTTCTCGGGCTGCATATTTAATGAATTTTAGGGTTATAAATACTTTTAAACTTATAATTTAAATATTAATTACCATATTTAAAATTGGACTTTGGAGATTTCCACCTCAATTAAGATTATGAATATCATTTACAAACTGATTGAACATTTGCAATATCTTACTCAGCTTGTATGATATCAAACTTATGCACATTGTGTAATAAATAAAGGGTAAAGATACATTTTTATTCTTAAATTATTTTTTAAGTAGTATTCAGTATCTTAAACTTTTTGTGGTAGCAATTTTATTCTTAAAGTAATTAAAATGAAATAAATTCCCCTGACATTAAGTCTCTCTAAATGTCAGTTAGTCAGTTTCTCAATTGTATATTGCAAATCTTCGTGCCAAAGATTCAAAACAGTTCTTCTTTTTATTGACATGGACCGCCTGATGTCATGAAGCTACAAGTAAAGCTTTCTAACATTAATTTGGATAAGAACTTGATAACATTTTTGACCCTCAGTGTGAAGTGATTGAGGAAAAAGCAGCGTCTGTGGTGTATGCATGGAGGGTCCACCATAACGTTATCCTATAAACATAATGTGATAATCAGTAATCACTTTAGCTTTTGTTTTATACTCCACCGCAAGCAAGGTATAATTCTTGCTCGATAAGGCTTTATTCCACCAACTCCTGTGCAGTTATAATATGTGTACAAACCGTTTACTCATAATATACCGGGCCTATAAAATCTGAATGGATACTTAATGTGGTAACTAAAAATATCTGAATGGATACTTAATGTTGATAATTAAAAATGCAGATTTAAATGAAGCAAGCTAAATATATAAACAAACAAGCCTTTCAGGTTTTAAGAACAACTCATTTTAAATTAATAGTCTATTTAGGCCTTAACAAATTAAAAAAATAGATAAAATTGGCATTTTAATTTTATGTTTTAGTCTTTTATCAACAAATATTCATTCAATTTTAACAACAGCTTATTTACATTAAAAACAGTTCATTCAGATTTTAACAAGTTAGAAAAATAGATAGGATTGACATAATTATACATGTTAGTCTTTTATCAACAAGTATCCATTCAAGTTTTAACAACCATTATTTAGTTTAATAACAATCCATTCAGACTTTAACAAATTAGAAAAATGAATAATATGGGCTTAATTATACAAGTATTAGTTTTTCATCAATAAGTATCCATTCAGGTGTTTAATAATAACTCATTCAAAGTTAACAACAATTCATTCAGGCTTTAACAAGTTAGAAAAATGATAAGATGGGCTTAATTATACAAGCATTAGTCTTTCATCAACAAGTATACATTTAGATTTTCATAACAATTCATTCAAAATTAACAATAATTCATTCAAGTTTTAACAAATTAGAAAAACCAATAGGATGTGTTTAATTGTACGTGTTAGTCCTTCATTAACACAGTATCCATTCAAGTTTTGACAACAACTAATTCATAATTAAGACCAATACATTGACTTTTAACAAGTAAGATGCATGAAGCTTTAAAACTCTTAATTTTCAATTGTCCATATTATATTAACAAATAATGTTAGTAAATGACAAGTGTCATTCAGGAATTAATAACTATTCTTGGTTGAACAATAAATACTAGGCGTGCCAGAGACGTTGAGTCTCAATAGATAATAAAACGGGTCTCGAGTTCCCTTACTACAGTTCACTCAAATGTAAAAAGATAAAAAGCTTTGTAGTAGAAAGTTTGTAATTTTATAAAATGAAAAAATATTATAGACTAAAAACTAAGAATTGAAAAGGAGCTAAGAATGCAAAATGCAAAATGTGTGAGTCTTGATTGAGTGTTGACTAGCTTTTTTGTTTTTCTTCTTTTTATTTATAGTGTTGAATAGCAAAAGCGTTTTTTTGAGACTTACCATTTTCTACCAAAGAATCAGGAATCTCGAGAAACTTGTGGTACGGTCTCTTATTTTGATAACTAGCCTGTTTCACCGAACTACTTGAGCATAGATTTTGGCATTACTTAGGATCATGCTTCATGCCATAGTCTGATATTTGAAGCTGACGGAATTTTAACATGTTTATTTATTGTGGACTTTATTGAGCTTTAGGGTCGCCTCTTTTGTTTTATTGGGCCTGACATTTCGATTACTTAGCCCAACTAGCCTCGTGCCCTATTTGATCGACGTTTCATATTCAGTCCAAACAAAACATACCATTATGTTATCGCATTGAAGTGGTTAGAAACTGGTTTACTACTTATATAGACATACATATATATTATATATATATCTTATATATATATATTGGCCATATGAATTAAAGGACTTTATGGCTATTAGGTGACCAAGGGGTTATGGGATTAAATCCTCCCTTAGCCACCTTTGCCAATTATTCTTGGATAAAAGTATTGCCAGTGCTAGAGCTTCAGCGATTGGCCACTAGTGTAGAGGCTGGCCGTCTGATTACTGATGCTGGTGACAATAGAGGGTGGCTTTTTTATTTTAAATTTTGTTGGTAATTTGGTCACTTCACGTGAAAAATAATATCAAGAAAGGATCAAGAGACTATAATAGAATTTCAAAATCTATTGGTCATTGACTGATACAAATTTCCTCTTATGGTTCATGGTTGATATTTTCCTAAAAATTATGCTTATCTAGTTTATAATTATTTAATTTAATTTTTATAATACATGAACAAGATTGATTGATTTATTTGCTAGACTTTGAAAAATTTGGTCTTAGGGAATAATTTGGCATTTAGCCTTTGAACAATATTGAAACGCTGACATGAGACTAAATTCTTTAATTGAATTATTTTCATTTCAACCAAAAAGGGAAAATCACTATGAAGGACCTCACCTTAACTTTATTAGCCTATAAGGCCTGGGACATATTTCAAAAAGAAAATCTTTCCTTGTCAATAATTGCTAAGAGTTAAATGACATAAATGTTTTTACTGATAAAAAAAACAAAGTTAATATTTCACACAATGTATCCTTCACTGTCAATATCTTACAAGATCCTTACTTGTGAATAATGATGTCAATATGTCAAGCAAGGTCCTTCAATGTTAATATATCAAACAAGGTTCTTCATTATCAATATGTCAAGCCAGGTCTTTTGCAAACAAAGTCTCCCATGAAATACAAGTGCTCTCTAAAAGAAATATAATCTAGCTTTCATTTATTTGAATATAAAAATTGCATATCCTGAAAATTATATCTTGATATCAAATTTTTTTCCACTATATCGTGCAATCTTAAAGGAAATACAATGTATCCAAATTCAATAAATATTGACAATCATCATAACAAGAGGTTTAATTTTGACCCAAATACTCATTATTAAAGAAGAAAATACAAAGAAAAATCTGAAGGATAATACAATATTTCATGTGAAATCAAGCCAACTGAGCCGTGAGAAACCTCAAAACTAAAATCAAATAATTTTGTTTCTAAGTATTTACTCCCTCCAAATCACAATATAAATCATCTTTTGAAAACTTTTTTCATTGCTCTCAGGTATCTTTTTATTATTGGAGATAATTTTATTCAAAATACGGGGTGGCACCAAACGTAATAAATAATGACTCATCATCTTTTTATAACAAAAGTGACTCATCATATTTTATTAAAAAAAAAAGAATTATCATCTTCATTTGATTGAATACTCTCTCAGTTTATTTATAAATTATTTCTACCAACTTCATTAATATCAATAAAATAAAGTACAAGAAATAAAAAAATAGAAAAATTTTAAAATATAACTCTCAACCAAAAAACAAAAAGTAAACAAACATTATAATATATTTTTTTTTTTTCTCTCTCTTTGCTTTTAATAATAGTTAAGAATTTTAATTTCAAATAAAATAATTTCATCAACGATTTTATAAGTGAATTAAATAATATTTTTAAAAAATGATTAATATATGGGACCGGGACCGGAAAGAGTAAGAAATAGCAAGTATTAACGCCTCATGTGCAACACGTTATGATATGACATTCTACTACACAACAAAAAGCTAAATCCCTTCCCATTAACTTTATATTTACGTGATGTGATATAGCTGACGTAACGTGACATATTTAGTGCTCAAGTTCAAGTCAAAAATGAATGGGAAAATCTGAAGTTTTTGGTCACGTGGACCCAAGTTATTAATTTATTCTTAAACTAAAATTGTACTACTTTACATTGATGAATGCCAAAAGGTTTCAAAAAACTATGATATTTTATTAGATTTCATTATTATTTATATATTTCAAGTTCTATATCATTTTTTTAAAAAAGCCTTTCATTATCTTGACTGGACCTTCGTCAAAT